AGAAACATGTGCAAAGCCAGGCATGGTGATGCACGCCTGTAATCTCAGCAGTCAGGAGGCTGAGGCAGGATTCCCAGAAGTTCAAGGCCAGCCTGCACTACATAGCAAGACACTGTCTCAAAAAATAAAAAATAAGGGGCTGGGAATTTAGCTCAGTGGCACTGTGCCTGCCTTGCAAGTGCAAGGCCCTGAGTTCGATCCCCAGTACCACAAAAAATAAAAATAAAAATAAAAATAAATGTGTGCAACAATCTCACTAAAAGAAGACAGGAGAAAAAGGTGCTTGGCTAACTAACTCTGGAAACTAGTGGAAATTATGAAATTTTTTTTTTTTTTTTTTGGTACCGGGGATCAAACTCGGGTCTTTGCGCTTGCAGAGCAGGCAGTGAAACCACTGAGCTAAATCCCCAGCCAGAAATTAGGAAATTAAAAGCAAAAAGAACCGCATGTAAGTACTGCTCTCTAGTTGATAAAATTGCTTTCCGTGAGTTTCCAATATTGCTATACTTGTGTAATAGAAACGAACGAGTAAGCAAATGGATGACAGATGGTAGGAGCCTGATTTCGTTTCACTCTGGAAGCAAGTTTTTGTGTATGGTACTGGATACAGTTGGAGACATCAGTATGAACTCATCCTGAGTCTAATGTGGATACACACAGTTACACAGAAGTATGTACACATACAAGGGGTGATAAAAGTATACACTGAATGTTTAAATTTATTAAAAATATTACAATAAAAGACACCGCTGTTAATCCTCAAGAGTACTCCTTGCTTTCAACACACTTATCCCATCATTCTTGCCACTTCCTGAAGCAGTCCTGGAAGTCCTCTTTCATAAGTGTCTTTACCAAGAATGATCAAAAACACAAACTATGGTGACCGCTGCTGCTGAGTGCCATCCACCAGAAAGGCAGGCTCACGAAAACACTGCTATGTGTCCTCGTCCACATTATTCAGCGGATATGGCACTGCATGACTTCTGGCTCTTCCTCAAAATCAAAATGGCCATGAAAGACAAATGTTTTGAATCAACTCAGAAGATCAAGGCAGCCACAACTCAAGACACAAAAGAAGACTTCCAGAATTGCTTCAGAACAATGGGATAAGTGTGTTCAAAGCAAAGAGGAATATTTTGTGGATGATTAATGGCAATGTGTCTTTCACTGTAATAATTTTTTAAATTTAAACATTCACTATTTTTTATTACACCGTGCATATAGAAATACGTATAGTTACAGTCATAGCCAGAGGTTTGTGTACACCCAAGCATCTCCTGCCTTTTCAGATTAGAGCCCAAAAGCAACACATATATTTCAGTACCAACAGACACTCTTCACATCCAGACCACAGTTTCTAATACCATTTCCCAACAAATGGAGCCAGATTCCTTGGGCAAAGAGCTGATTCTGAGCCTGGAGCATCTCAGAGTGCCAGACAGTAAAGAAAGGCTGAAAAACAAAATCTCCACTTGGGGTGGAGATAGGGGACACAGAAGCCAAACATAAGAATATGATCAACAAAATAAAGTTGGACTGGATTACGACCCAAAATATAAAAAATATATTTCCGTGAGTTCAGACCTATGTAAATGAGTAGGCAAATAAGTAAGTGAAGGAAAGACAAAAATTCCTACACAGAATTACAAATAAAGTACATATATAGATATTCCACTCTCTGGTGGGGGGTCGGGTGAGGGAACATAACTCTCTACTGCTTCAAGTAGGAGCTGTATACAGAGACTTCCAAGAGTACAAGGGAAAGAAATGAAGAACTTTGCAGTGGAAAAATCTGACAAACAGTTAGGTGTTGTGGTGCATTCCTGTAATCCCAGCACTCAGGAGGCTGAGGTAGGAGGAATGCTTCAAGTTCAAGGCCCACCTGGGCTACACATTGAATTCAAGGCTAGTCTGAACTACATAGCAAGACTCTGTTTCAATAAACATTTTTTTAAAAGGTAACTGACAACCACCTCACCCAGGTAATCAAGATGAATATGAAGACAAATCCTCTTTCGTAAGTGTCTTTACCAAGTATGAGCACATCAAAACCATGTTCCCTTTACATATGATGAAAATTGTACTTTATCTCTGAAATCTCCTGGCCCACAGTCACAGCCTTATCATGAAAAAACATTAAACAAATTCCAAAGGAAGGGCATTCTACAATACGCATGACCAGGACTCCTCAAAACTTTCAACATCATCAAAAACAAGGGACACCTGAGAAACTGTCCTAGTCGAGAAGAGACCAGGAGATGTGACTACTAAATGCAATGATATCCTGGACATTAGGATCCTGAAAAGGGGGGAAAAAAGACATTAAATCACAACTAAGGAGGGGAAGAAAATGTAACTTAGTAGCAGAACACTTTCCCAGCATACGAGTGGACCTGGGTTCAAACCCTCCAACACTAAGGAAATATAAGTGTGAATAGTAATGCACCAACACTGGTTCATTAATTGTAGTACTAATATAAGATGAAAATGAGGGAGAAATAGTACAGGCCTATATGGGAAGTTACTGTACTGTTTCTGCGCTTTTTCTGTAAATCTAAAACTGTTCTAAAAATACATAGTTTACTTTTTAAAATCCCATTTAGAGATGTATCTAGGAAACATTGAAGGCGTTGTAGTATACCAATGAGGAACCACCCACTTTCTTGCATATGTTCAATTTAAAATGTTTGCAACTATTCCACTACAGAATTTTTCTTAAGGAAGTATTTTCAGTCACTAACAGCTGCAAACAATTTCATGCAGCAATTCCCAGCAGGGATGTACTGTAGCTGGAGTACTTTAACTTAAGTTCCATTTCCCCCTTACACACTTCTGCAGATGTCCAAAAGTTTGTAACCTATTGTTGACTGATGTTGTCTTGTGCTGATCAAAAAAGCTACCAAGCATGTTTAATAGGATTCAGAAAAGATAACCTAAACTTTACATATATCACCTTAATACTCAGCCAACAAAACTTCAAGCAAGTAAAGACAACTTGTTTAAAAAGTATCATTTTCTCTTTAGGATCTTAGGTTTTCTTATTCAAAACTTGTTTGACTGACTACTGCAGAATTAAAACAGGTAAATGAAGAGGCTGAGGAAAGAATAAAAAGCAGTGGTGGAATGGATGTGTAACAGTGTTAACAAAAAAGAAAAAAAGGATTCGGATTTGAAATGCGTCAAATGATAACACTAAAAGCAGAAGTAGCAAGCCCTCATCAGAGTATAGCAAAGTACTAATGCCTTATAAATAATCAGCATAGATAAGAGCTTCAAAGCAGGAAAAAGCTAGAAATAAAAACAAAATGAAAATTTACCTTTAATCACAAAGTGTTCAAAATTGAATATTAGGTTCCAGATAGGGAACAAAAGAAACATCATTGTAAATATGATTTCACTTAAAGTATTGCCCGCTATTAATAATATTTAGTGATTTCGGGAAGTGATAAAATTATAAAACACACCAAACATTGTGAACAGTGGTTATCACAGAACAGAATTAAGGGCATATTTTTTCTTTCTTTTTTCCTGCTGTGAAGTGAATGACTTGTGGAATTTTACCAAGCATTAATCTGTGTATTCTGCACTAACGTGGTCTAGGAACACATTATCTTCGTGATACATTCCATTTTACCCTTCATGCACCAAGTCGATAACGTATAAATGTGAACCCATGACCAAAATTTTCCTACACCAGCAACTTAAGAACTATTGTGATTAATCCAGGAAAACTCCAGTCCCAAAGAGAACATCTATACTAGGTGACCGAGGATGATATTGACTCCAATTTCAATAGACTCACTACCACATGATCTAGCTTTCCAAACCCCACGGAGCTGTGGAATGCTATCTTTTCAATGGAAATGAATTAGAAGCAACACACAACGCATTGACTTTGAGGTTGTTTTTATTTAATGCAAGAAATAATTCTGATCCTTCTATCTCCCAAAAAACGACAAAGTCAAACTATCCACACACCTGAAACCAAGTTTTATTTGAACTCATTCCTAAGATATTAGCTATTGCTCTTATTATCAGAGGCAAAAACTGGAACCTTTAGAAGAAAAAGCAATAATACATTTCACTGAAACGTATTTGGTAAAGGAGGATTCCAGACGTCCATGGATTTCAAATCCTAATACACATAGCGTGCGGCGCCCTGCGAGATTCCAGCAGGAATCTGGGTGCTACAGGAAAGGAGGCTTTGGGAAGCCGGGCGCAAGGACACTCGAGGCCAAGACCCTGCGCACAGGTGGTCCTCCAAGGGAGAGGAAAGAGGGAGAGCCTGGGAGAAAGAGAGGGGTCTCGGAGGTGGGGAAACCCACTCCAAACGCCCTCACTGACGACGACCGGGGAAAGCCATCTTCCCCGAAGTGAAACGTGTAAGTCAACTGCGGCGAGCTGAAGAAGGAAAGTCAAGAACCGTTCAGAACCGACACCTAGTCCGAAGCAATGAGCTCCCCCAACCTGACGGCTGAAGGGGACCCTTTCCTGCTGGGTCGCTCGGGAAAGACAACCCCCAACTTGGGGCGGGGCGGGAGGGCGACTCTGCAGCCCCCAGCCCGGGGTGATACAGGGGCGACCGGACCGTGGCTCTGCGGTGGCCCCGCCGACGCCCCGGACCAGGAGCGGGGGACCCCGCGATCTGAGCCCGCCCGGCGCGCCCCGGGCAGCGGCGCCCGCGCACACCTGGCCGCCAACACCAGTTGCAGGCGGTGGGAGCGAAGGCAGGAGCCTGGCAGCGCTCCGACACCGGCCCACCACACAAGGCGGGGCGCTGGCCCGGGAGCCCCGCGCCCGGCCGCGCCCCAGCTCCCACCTCGGACCCGCCCTCCGCGCCCGGCTCCCCGGGGGCGCCGCCAGCCGGAGAGGTGGGAGCGGCCCGAGGGAGACCTCACCTGGCCGGCGCCCTCCCGACCCTGGGCCGGGCCGCAGACCGCCTCTGAGCCCCGCCGGGAAGGGCCCCGCTCCAGGCGAGCGCCGCGTCGCCCGCAGCCCACCTCGCGCCCTGACGAGACCGCCGCGCTCGCCGCTGCCGCGAAGTCTGGAGCTGCCGCCTGCTCGCGGCCACAGCCAGCCGCGCGCCGCGCATGCCCAGAGCGGGCGCCAGGCGCGAGCGGGCAAGCGGGAGGGTGAGCGCGCGCCGGGCGGGGAGCTGCTCCGCGCTCCGGGTCTTGCGGGCAGCCGCACCGCGGAGTTCTGGTCGACCCCGGGCTGAGCGCACCGGGGCCGGCGAGGGCGGGTGACCCGCGGGAGGAAAGGAGGCGGGGCGCCGCAGCGGGTTATCAAGGCCAAGATCAAAGTCACACCGAGGTGCCGCCCGCCCACGGGTTTCCAGAAGTGCCCCAGCAGGACCGACTAGCAGCCGGGTGACTCGAGGAGAGCTGCGGAGGAACTGCGGGGCGGCTCGCCCTGGGCAACGTGGGCGCCTAGGGCCAGACAACCCGGGGCCCTGCTGCTCAGGCTGTGGCCACCATCCCAGGGCAGACAGCGAGCTGCGGCGAGGGACAGCCACCTTTGTCTCCCTTCTGTGGCCCTCTGACCTATTTTCCCTTGTGAGCGCTCTCTGCTCTTTGTATTTTGTTCCCTCAACCCAACCTGTAAACCTGGTACCCGAGGGCATGGGTCTCTAAGTCTCCAAACTGCTGGTCTTTAACTCCATCAGCAAGTCCGGACCCGCCCCACGGTGCTGCCTAGTGTCCCATTTTTCCTGGGGCTCTTGCCAAGAGCCTAGTGTAGTTTGAAGTAGTGGAGGTATGTTTGATTCCCCCCCCCCACTTTTGTCTCTAATACCTTAACCGACCCTTCTAACTTTCGCCTCCTCCCTGAGTAACTCACGGAGCCATAAATGAGAAGTCAACCCACTCCTGAACATTGTCATTTCTTGCTGTTACAGTATCTCAGTTGCCACAGCTATGCCCCTCACACCGTGGCCTTCTAACTTCCAAATCAAATGACTTCCAGAAATCAATGAAAGAGTGTAAATTAAACCTAATTAAAATAGACTGGACCTAGCTGCTTTGTAAGGCAAGTAAACGTCGTGGGGAACAGAGATATCAGGATAAGGCAGAGGGGGGAAATCTTGCCATTGATCCTAGGTTAAATTCAACCCCTCCTCTGTCATATTTCCACCGGACCACCATGCACTTGAACATTTCCAATGTCAGCAATCACTTGTTTTTATCAATAGTATCTATAACCATAATTATTTGATGAATATTTACCTATGCCAGGAGCTAAGCGATTTACATACATTATTACCAACTCATAAAATGAAATGGGCTTTATTAAGCCCATTAGCACATTTCTTAATTTAGCGCATTAAGAAAATGAGGCTCAGAAGTTTCCTTCTTTTTGCCAAAGCCAATTCTGATGTCAGAATTAAAATCCAGACCTGCTTTGCTCCAAAGGCTGTTTCATTTGATTTATGAATGCAAGTCAACTTCCCTTAAGATGTACCACAGTTGTAGTTTTGTCCTTAGGATTCACACAAAATTAATCTTACTCCTTAGAGACATTGCAAGCCTTGAAATAGTAGAATCAAACTATAAAGTAATCACCAGAAGATCTAATTATTTCAATGTTTTCCTTTCATTGGTCCTCAAATGACATAGTGTGCACTCATAACCACTCCTTACCTTCTTTGATTTTTTACTCTCCCCCCAATTTATGGACTCAGAACAGATTACAGCTTTCAAATACAATGAGCAGAAAGTCTGAAGTCATCAGTGGCCCTTTTGATCTAAGCAACTCTTATAGTAAGGCATTCTAAATCTGCATTAAGCTTTTCTTTTAGCAAGCATACTACCTAGAGTCAAATAGAACACTCAAGTCTATGTCTCATAAACTAAAATTAAAGCAAATCTTCCACCCTACAGAATGTAATACTTCTATGATTCTATATGTTTAAACCTTATCTTTCCTTTATCTGTATTAAATTTCATCTTTGTTTTAAGGCATAAATTCAGATAAAGAAATACCAAGAGTCACTTTGAACTTATCTGTAAATCTAACAAATATGTTCTCCTTTGTCTTCATTTAAGTCTAGGTTAAAGTACTTTCCAGTGCTTAAAACCATTATTATCTGATTTATACTTTCGCTAAGAGTCAGTGTCAAACTTACCTGTTTATAAAACCACCATATATGAGTTTTTCTGGTTTGAAAATCTCATTTGTTAATGTTATCATGTGGTACAAAAATTATGTGGAACATGATAAAGACAGATATGTACATGGAGTGAATGGGGTATCCAAAATGTAGATTGAAAATTGGAGTCATTGGTAGGAAAATGGATAGACCTCGAGACCAAAATGCTAAGTGAAATAAGTCAGTCACAAAAGGTGAAATACTTCATGGTTTCTCCAATATGTGAGACCCAAAACAATTTAAAGACCAAAATAAAAAAAACAGAGAAGTAGGCTCTGTAGAGATAGGCAGGGGACTCAGAGAAGGAGGCGGAGGTGAGAAAAGGCTCAAGAGGTGATCTATACATGTATTCATCCCCTAAACTTAATGTAATCACTATGTATCACAAACATTGACTGACAAAAATTATTTTAATGGAGATCAAAATCACAATAAAGAATTTTAAAAATAGAAAACAAAATATCAGATAAAACCTATAGCTGAGAGTAAAGACTACATAAAAAAATTTTACTAAATATTTTTAAATAGCTGGAAAAATGTTGAATGTCCTCACCACCAAGAAATAATGAATGAGGTAACAGATCTGCTAAACACCCTGATTTGATTATTATATAACATATACATCTATGAAAACATCACACTGTACACATAAGTAATAAAACAAAATGTTTTAAACATTAAAATAGGTAACAGAAAATATTTTTAATGTGGAGAAACAATGAAGACAGAATTTTGCATGGGGAGTTCTGCTGATTAATCTTGATTGTAAACTTGATCATATCAAGTAACACCTAGGAAGTTAGTAAGGCACCCTGATGGGTGTGTCTGTGGGTGTTTGCAGAGACAACTGGATCGAAAAGACTCTCACCTTACCAGTGGGTTAATCCATCAATGAGATTATAATTTGATGGCATTATTGGGAGGTGATGGAAACCAGAAGTGGCATCTGATTGGAGGAAATAAATCATGGTTCATTGGGGCAAACCACATAGGAAGACTGAGGCCTGATTGGCCCCCTTGGTGAGCACTGAGGAGAAAGGTGGCATGCAAGCATGCTGACATGCTTACACAGAAAAGCACAAACAGCTGAGATCCTGTTGTGTATCTGGACAAGTACCATGGAAGGTGGGAGACAGATGGATCTGGTGTAACTCTAATTGCTCGTACCCGTGTCTGAATGAATAAAGCCTAGGTGTGCCAGTCGCTTGGGGCTCTATGTCGAAAGGAGACATCAGTCCCCTGGTCCTGATTCTGTGTCTCTTTGCTTTTCATCCTCATCGCCCCTTGGTCAGGTTCAAGCTGGCAGGTAAGTTACCACAGCGAATGACCTTGAAGACCATACCTAGTCCCCAGCCTCACGCTCTCAGCCTCTTCCCCTGCTCTGTGCTTCTCCAATGCCATGAGGTGACCTGCTTTGTTCCACCACGATGCTACCTCACCTCAGGCCCACAGCAAAGGAACCAGCCAGCGATAGCTTGAAACATCTGAAACTGTGAGCCACAATAAATCTTTCCTCCTATAAGTTGTTTTCTTGGGTATTTGGTCACAGCAACAAAAAGCTAATAGGGGAGTTTAGAAACTCCCTCAAACTCAAGTATGTTCTTCAAAGTCTGCTCTCCACACCCACTAATCTGATGCATGAATGACACTAAAGACTGCTGTGTGTATCTCTGTAGACTTGTAGTCTTAAAGCCATATAGTGCAAAGCGTATTTGTAGATAAATCTGGAAACGGTATGCTATAGTTTAGGACATTATTATGATGATGATCCCATCTAAATCTTCTAAGGATAACTTGGTAGACAAGTAATTTCTCTTTGACTACCACTGTTATTATTATTATATCTCATTTGGAAGAGCAAGCCAAATTACTTGGATTATTATATTTGCTTTCACTATAAGAGGTGCTTGGGCTTGTTTCTTACTTCCTACTTGATGTTTATATTTCTTGTTTGTTATAGTTCTTTACATTCACTTAGGTTAACAAACTCAGTTTTGGTTGGTCTTCAAATGCTTTGAAGATAATCAAAATGCTATAATTTATTATATAACATATGAATATACATATGTGAGAATTGGGAAGGAATTTACAGGGAATTTTACTACTCTAAATAAATGGGCCAGGCATGGTGGAGCATACTGTAATTCTAGAACTCAGTAGGGTGAGGCAGGATGATCATGAATGTGAGGACAGGCTGGGCTACATAGTGAATTTGAGTCCAGCCTGAACTACATAGTCTCTACACCCCGGCAAAAAATATTATCATGATTTTCAGCAAAATAAATAAAGATGGCTAGATTTATGAGGCAGAAATACCCTAGTTAACCTAGTTGTTACAAGAAATTAAAAAATGAAATCCTAAATAAGACTGGCTAAAATAACTAGACATACACGAAAAGGAATTTTTCAGAATTTTGGGAGGAAAAAAAGTGTAATTATTCAATTGGAAACTCCATGGATGAGTAAGAGTACCTTAACACAGCAGAAAAGAATAATGTAAGGTAGGTGTAAAGAAATTTTCCAGTATGCAACACAAACAGGGGTGGGGAGAAAGCATGGAAAAAAAAGATAAAGAGATATGGAAATAGAATGTTATGATATGTATCTACGGAGAATTCCAGAAGGAGATTTTAGAAAGAGAACAGTAGAGGCAAGGGCTGAATAAAATAGCAGTCTACAAAGAGAAAGAACTGACATATATGTGGACCAAGTAGGACACCTGAAAAGAAAACCAGGCAGAGGAGCACACCATATACATACATCAAGTAAGACAAAGGAAACCAATGTATTCTATTGTGAAACCACCAAATGAGAGGAAAAGGCTATCTGAAAAGCATCAAGGGAGGAAAATAACTGGGCATGGTGGCACATGGCCATAATCTTGTAAGAATTCCAGGAGGCTGAGTCAGGAGGATCACATATTCAAGTCCAGCCTAGGCAAGTTGGCAATTTAGCAAGACCCTGACTCAAAATTTTTAAAAATGCAGAACTGGCTGAGGATGTAGCTCAGTGCAAAGAACCTTGGGTTCAAATCCCAGTGAGAGAGAGAGAGAGAGAGAGACCTACAAGAAAAAGCCAGTAGATTCAAGAATTCTCAATGCTAATAATGATAGCCAAAAAACAATGGAATATATCTTCAAAATGCTGAGTGAACACTGATACCATCTTATGCCAGGAAAAAAAATGATCATCATCAAGAAATCAAAAAGTAACAAATTCTGGCAAAGCTTCAGGGGAAAAAAGAGCACCTCCACATTGTTGGTGGGAATATAAACTAGCACAACCACTGTGAAAATCATTATGGAGGGTACTCAAAAAACTAATACTAGAAATTCCACTTGACCTAGCTATTCCCCTTCTAGGTATCTTCCCAAAAGTGCCAAGGGCCGGGGATTTAGCTCAGTGGTTTCACTGCCTGCCGCGCAAGTGCAAGGACCCAAGTTTGATCCCTGGTACTGGAAAAAAAAAAAAAAAGAAACTGAGGAGCCAGGGATTTAGCTCAGTGGTTCTGCCACCTGCCTTGCAACCACAAGGACCTGAGTTCAATCCCTGGTACCAAAAAAAAAAAAGGGTCAAAGTCATCATATTATAGCCATGCATGTTTAATAGTAGCACAATTTATAATAGCTAAATATTGGAAACAACCTGTATGCCCATTGACAGATGAATGCTAAGAAAATGTGGAATTTATACACAGTGGGGTAATATTCTGCCATAAAGAAAGATAAACTTGAGGCATTCATAGGTAAATGGATGCACCTTGAGACCATAAAGTTAAGTGAATTAGATCAGACACACAAGCTTAAATATCACATGGTTTCTTTTGTATGAGAAACACAAAAATATAAAGAACAAAATAAAATATAATGTCTTAGTTACTTTTCTCATTGCTGAGACAAAATACCTGACACTCAAAGTTAAAGGAGAGAAGCTTTTCTGGCTCACAGTTTGCAGAGGTTTCAATCCATAATTGGCTGGCTCCAAGGCAGAGTAGCAGAAGAGAAACAGTTTGTGGCAAGCAGAAGGTAGCAAAGCAAAATGGGGAGAAGACAAGTCTCTGTCCCTTATATTGCATCCAGGCTACTAGGATTAGGGTGGATGATTTAGTAACCACCCACCCTTAATCTCAGCATCACACACTCTAGATTCAGCCGCCTCTGAAAAAGCCCAATCTATGACCACATGAGGCTTTGGGGGGACATTTAAATCCAAACCCCAACAGATAAATAATAGGAAGTAGGGAAGTCTTTTTCAAATGGGAAGGTGAACAACAGATAGAGGGTGGAGGGAAGGAAGGGAAAGAGGATGGGGGAAAAAAGAGCTGAAGAAAGAAATGGAAATAGAATTTTTACAAATGGGAAGGGGATCGAGAGTTGGAAGTAGCAGGGAGGAAACAGAGATGAAAAAAGAACTTGGATGTGCCGTGTACAAGTAACAACTCATGATAAATGTGATCATTGTGTAATGCAAACAAATACTAATAAAAAATAAATTTTAAAAATGCTGAGTGAAAATAACTGCTAAGATATAATTTTGTATCCAGAAAAATTACATTTCTAGAATAAAAACGGAACTAAGACACATTAGATAAACAAACTGTCCTTTTTACCATGTTGACTCAATAACCTCTGAGGCACACCTGCAGAGGTAGAAAGTGACCCAATAGGAAATACTAGG